GAAGGTGATGTGGGAGAAGGAGGTGGTGGAGGAGGGGGATAGTTGAATTATTCACATTATCAGGAGTAGATAACAACATATGTGTTTATTCTCTGTTTATTCCTGAATTATTCCTTCTTATTATTCTTATATTGTTCTCCTTTTTTATCCTGTTATCTTTTCTTCGTTTATACACATGCAAAACAAGCGGAACAAAACAAAAAGAAAAAAAGATCAAAACAAAAAAATGACGTCAGTGAACGTCACGCACGAACTCGGCTATCTCCGAAGTTGAATGCAGTAAATTTCGAACATCCGAACACGGGACACACGCACATAACTCACTTTGATCAAGTACAATGTGTTGTTGTGTATATCCTTACTTTGATCAATTAACATCCGAACGCCGACACAGTATTAATTGTGCTTGAATATGAATTTAATTTGAGTTGCAGTTTGCTCTCTAATTTGAAATATTATCTACTAATATATTATATACTAACATAATATCATTTGTGTAACTATGACTGTAATAAAGTGGCTGTAAATAAAATTTGAGTTGCTCAGTTTACTTTCTAATTTGATACATTACTATCTTACTACTTTCTATGATACATTATCTTTTTCTAATCTATTATATAACTAGTATAACTAGTCATAACTGTAACTGTAATAATAAGAGATCAGATAAAAACTATTGTAAGTTGTTGTCAAACCCCTATAAAAAGGCTATATTTTCATGAACAAATTTTTTAACTAAAACGTTTTTTTATCAAACGAGATTTGCCATTAAACTATAAATAACACGGTAACTCCACGGTAATTTCAGACCGGTGCAATCTCAGACCGGCAAGTTGCACAGGCTCGACGCGGAAAGCGTGATTTTTTTTCCTAGGTCAATCAAGAACATAGAGCTCTAGTGAGCGCTGCTATTGGCTGAGCTTGTTTCGTCGCTTAATGACCATAAAACAGGAGTTTGAGGCACGTGATTTGTATCAACCAATGGCAGCGCTCACTAGAGCCCTATGTTCTTGATTGACATAGGAAAAAAAATCACGCTCGCGGATAAGCGCGTTCAGGTGCGGGTGCGAAACAACGACGTATTGTAGGCAAACACGATAGGCACGCTTCTTACCGGTTGTGTCGAGCTGTCGCGGATAGGTACTACTGCAGTCTTGCGTTAACGATTCCGCGTTGACAGCATGCTTACCGGAACAGCGAAGCTCTCATTAACTAAGATTTTATGGGGAACCACTCTGATCGTATTCCTTGTATTTCTGTGGACGATCTTATCTGAAAATTTGCTTCAGTCTAGTGAGGCAAACGAAGTGCAAACTGTGGATCCAGCATCCTCGTGTAAAGATGGCTCGGTGGCGGACTGCGCTTTCTCTCCAATCTCCCACCAATTCAAAGCCCAGCAAACGCAAAGTAAATTGCACTCGGAT